CCTAACCCTAACCCTAACCCTCACCACCCTCCAGACCTTCCGCACAGCCCTTAAAATCTGGCTATCCCGTCAGGCCTGGGGGTAAAGATTATAATTCGCCCGAATCGTATGAATGTTGTGCTTTTTTAATTATGTATTGTTCTCATGTGTTAAATGTTTGTTCCCCCCCCACTTGAGTTGTAAGCCGCCCTGAGTCCCCCCAGGGAAAAGGGCGGCATATAAATAAATTTTCATAACTCATAACTCATAACTCGTTTATTTACTAGGCCCTATTGCCCACACCATTAAAACATAAGCCAGATAAATATTTAGCCTAATCTGACAAAATCAACTATTGACCTGTGTTTTTTTAGTTGATGTGACATGTGATATCACAGCAGTGAAACAGTTTTAGTGGGCTGTCATATCACAAGTCTTTCAGAAAAGTAGGCTAAAATGAATTTCCTTTCAGTACCTTTTAAAAAGAAACAATTACTAGATCCCATACTCCAATCTTTATTGGAAATCTTGTCTCTTTACTAATTGCATCTTTAAGGCTTAGCATAGCTCTAGTAATAATATTGGACACAAGATATTCTCAAGCTATTTCAAAATCTACCTTATGATGTTCTTAAAATTATCTTCCTTTTAAAAGAAATTTCTGAAGGAGTTTTTCTATCTAATTCTCATGATACAAAGGCTCATTTTGATTTTCTCCCCTCTGAATTTATTGTCAAACAACAATATACAAATTGGCAATTTCCTTTTGATCAAATTGACAGCCAGTTAGTAGAAAAATGAAAGAACTTTTCTACATGGCACTAAAATATAGCACTTATGTATGATGTTTGCCCAAAGCTCTTTATTTGGTACAATGAAAAATAACTCGGGTTTCTGGAGTCTTTACCTTTTGTCACAGATAACTGACAACGGTATGTTGATGTAGTATATTCTTTATGAAATCTTATTAAAACATATACTTCAAGTGATTTGTAAAGTATGATGACAAATTTTGTTATTATCTGAACATTTGCATATACATCACATAAGACTTATGTATGAATTTAGAGCTCCTTTCCAACTTTTGGAAAAGCATTTAGTGTATTTAAAACACATAATATTTATACCAATATTATAATCAATATATTTTTATTGGAAGTGATGAGAAAGAGCTTACATGACAAGAGGGATACTTTATTTTGCCTTATTTATAGATAATTAGTATGGATTATGGATGGAGGAGGAAGAGTGAAGAAGTGAAATTATTATTATTACTAGTCTATGTTATCTTGAAGCATGATCTTATTAAGATATTGGCTTGCAGTTTCAAACTATATTACAGTGGTGTTTTAAATGAATGTAAATTTTCAATTGACCCATGCAAAAGCTAAACTAATAATGATTCTTAGCTTGCTTTTTTATCAGTGAATTTGATCTTAATAAAAAATAAAAATCCCTCTTATTCCTTACAGAACAGGAAGAAATTCTGTCAAGGTCCAAATTCTGTTTTTAATTAAAGCTGCCAGTAGTGTCCATGGCAAACCATAGTGTTGAAATAAATTATAGCTTTAGTGTAGCAGCATGGACACATGTTGTCATTTGTCCCATGTGTGGATACTCACAATCATTGCCTGTTGGTTCATAAGCAGACAATGAAACAATAGCCATCTCTACCTCATTTGTAAAAAGAAGTATATGTTTAAGCATGACTTTCTAGTTCAACCTTTCCTAATCTCCTAGTGTCATCTTGATATACTGGAACTTATTTTATCCTCAGCAATATAATAAAGATTGACTAGAGATAATCAAGAGGATATACAGAATTGGAGAAGATTGGTTTAATTCATTTTAAAAGCATTAACAATTGGAATTCCACTCGTTGACGACGTATTAAGTTTTCACGTTACGTTAAGTGATATTGTTTGTTTAGTGTTGGTTCAGTATAATACATAAATCCAACAACTGCAATTTGTTTCATAAATAATGTCTTAGTTTAATATGTGAAACTGTCCATTGTATGAAGAAAGACAGGGATTTAAGGTTCTATCATTTAAATGTTGCAGAAGAGGAGAAAATCTACTTTGTATTTTTTTAAAAAGATTTTATGTTTAAGATGCACAAGCCATTTAATAATTTGAGGTTATAATCCTATAGATATTTACTTAGAAGAAATGGTTGGCAATTTAATTTGTGCCTTTGTGTTGGTGTTTGTCCTTTTCTAGCTTCCTAATCTTTTTGACAAGGAAGCTAGAATGGTCGTACCAGCTGTTCCACAAATTACAGAATGGTGTTTCACTTTTCATAGCAAGGACAGACAGAAAGTAATTTATATTTATTTAAATTAGTACTTTCTCTTTCTGTAAGTAGATTCATATGTGGAGAATGTTGGAAAATGATCTGATGAAAGGATTCTAATACCCTTGATTGAATATGGTATCAAAACCAAATGCCTAAGGAGACTTGTCCTCTGTGTAATAATTTAGGAATGCTCCCATTGTGGTCAACTATCTTTAACATGATAGGCATAGGAAAACATGCTGTGTAATGATACTGAGTCATACACAGAATGTTCCTAAATGCTATGGTGAGAAGGAGTATCTGCCATAAGGATGTTATTTTCAACAGCAGTCCTGTGGATAGTATAACATTTACTCTGTTCTTTTGTATTATACCCTCCTCCAGTGACATATGCTTAATGTAATCAATCTGTAGAATTAATACCTAACAATTTTGAGCTAATAAAAGAATATGAAGTTTGTTTTTTATTTATTTATTTTATAGTATTTAAACAAAGCCTTCTGCATGTAGATAACTAGGCTTCCTACACTGGAATACTATGAAATCTACTGTAAGCAGTTTCGTCTCCCCTATGACTTTTACCCTCCATAGTAATCTGTCAGGCTAGCATTTTTAAAAAGAGATGGAAGATGTAGGAGGGAGGACCGTCTTATTGCAATAATTATTTGCTTGTTTATGAATATCAAGCTATTTTAATGCAAAATTATATTCATATTTGTATATTGTTGTGCTCATTACCCTTGAAGAGATATTTGGATTAATTCCTACATCAGCTGGTATGATCCATTATTTTTGGAGTTGCTGAAGGTAATATTGGTCTTTTCACCTAGAAAAATCATGGTATAGGATACTAATAAATGGATTCTTCTAACAGCTGCTTCTTCAACCATAAACAAAATGCAAGCTCCTCTAACTGCTCTTTGTTTTTCTCCCAAATGGATTTTCTCTAGTAATAAATATTATGAAAGTTGAATTGGTTTCCAGTCAAAAAATTAATTGGCAGACCAGTCAAAGAGCCAAAATATTTGCAAAAATGGTTTCATAATATTTATACCAGGAAAACTAAAGTTCAGAAGATAGTTGTTTGGGAAAAGTGAAGGTTGCCTTTTTGAATGTTTATTGAGGAACCTAGTGTTTTGTAATTAAAGGTGTACAGGAACAGGAAATAAAGATTACTCTAGTCGCTAAATCCAGATAGTGAGATTCTGATATTGAAATTAATCACAGCATAGGGTACCATGCCTTGCAGTCATACACACACACACACACACACCCTGGTTCCCTAACAATAATTTTCCCATTCTTATTGATGGACTCTCCTTGAGAATGTTTTACTCTGGTGGATGTCAGGTTCCGAAGGGTTAATGAAAACAGACAAACACAGAAACGGTTTGTAAATGCAGTTTGTATTTTTCCTCCGGCACGAACTGACCAACAGAGCACTAAGGCAATGAATAAATTCTCAAAGCTGCCACCCAGTGCTCTCCACCACCTTTTATAGTTACTTAGTAATTAGGATAAGCTGCACCCCGTGCTTGCGCACACCCATCCCCCTCGTAACCTAGAATGAAAACCACCTGGCAATTAATCATGGATTATTGTCAGTCAGTTGTCAATAGCTTTGTAGATTACTCAGCTGCTTGTGTAGGAGGGAAGCCTGGTGAGTCTCAGCAGCTGGCCTGGTCTTCTCCCCTGAATGGTAGCTCCAGGCCTCTGGGCTGGCCAGAGCTGACATGCGGCCCCCTACCATGGAGATAGCATTTGGGGAGCTAAAAATTACAGACAGTTAGGAGTCGAAGGACTCCTTCCCCCCAGTTTTGTGGGATGTCTGCGGTGGAATCTCGCTATCAGGTGGGGCGCCCTACAGTCCTTGCTATGAACCCACGATGCCTCTGACAGGGGATAACCTTTCCATAAAAAAGGTGTTGTAACCATCCCCTCTGCCACCTGGTATCTAGTATATTTTGCATTACATAGTGCTTTCCCCATCTACAGTAACCGGGGCTGGCAGCCGTAGCAGGTCTCCTCTGATATCAGATGCCTGAACTGATTGGAGCAGGCTGCAGTGGAAGACTGGATGTGTTTTCCCCAGTAGAGGGGAGAGTCAATAACTTGCACGATTGGGAAAGGCCCCATGAATTTGGGCCCGAGTTTCTTACATGGCAATGGAAGCCTCAGATATATAGTGGAGAGGTATTCCCTCTGGCCTATGTGGAAATCCACTCCTGTGAGGTCATGTCATCTGGGTGCACCTGAGGATACTCTGGAATTGGGACAAACTCCTGCCTTGTAGCCACATGAAATTGGGTAAACCCTGTACTTTTGTGTACTGCATTGTTATATGCAACCTCTGCAAAGGGAAGGAGTTCAGCCCAATCGGTCTGTTGGTACTGGACGTAACATTTTAAGTAGAACTCACCATCGCATTTGCCCTCTTCGCAGCACCATTGGTTGCGGGTGGAAGGCTGTACTAAGTCCCTGTGAAGACCCCACCATTGCCACGAATCTGCGCCAGAACCAGGCAGTGAATTGCACTCCCCTGTCTGAAATTATCTTTTTGGGGATGCCATGGAGTCTATAGACATGGGTAATAAACAGTCTGGGCAGTTTCCTAGCAGATGGAAGGCTGGTACATGCTACAAAATGTGTCTGCTTGGAGAAAAGGTCTATTATCATCCAAATGACCTTGTTCCCTTGGCTGCCCAGTAAATCCACAATGAAGTCCATGGCTATCTGTTCCCATGGCTGAATTGGATCTGCCACCTGCTGTAAAAGTCCAGGAGGCTGGCCAGGCCGGGCCTTCATGATAGTGCAAACAACACAACTCCTTACGTATTCCTCTATGTCCCTCTTCATGTGGGGCCACCAGAACTGGCAATTTACTAAATGCAGAACCCAAAATGCCCAGCTGAGCGAACGTTGTGGCAGCGCTGCAGTGCCCAGCCGCTAGTCTGACCGGAGCTGACAGTGAATATAATAACCCATTATATAATAGAGGCTTGATATTTGAAAATTGTAAATATATGTGGTTGTGATAATAGTATTCATTTAGTAAGCACTTTTAACATGATATGGTATAGTTGAAAGGGGGAAAAATACAATTGCATTTAATAAACTAATTCATAGGTTAACATGCAACCAGTGTATGTATGTATGTATGTATGTATGTATGTATGTATGTATGTATGTATGTATGTNCCTAGAGGTCACAATTGCACAAACAGGTTGAGTTTTTTCTACCCTAAAGACAACATGCTTGCCTAATATGGCACATAAAACTGAATACTCAGATTTACTATCTTACTAAAACAATGTTCTTAAATCTCACGTTTAACTTCTTAGAATACTCATTATTATCATGGGGGAAATGATAACTAATGCTTTGAAAATATAGAAACAGCTAAGGACAGGAAGATAGTCTTGTTCATTAAGAGAACCAGAGTTTATTTCGAAGAAAAGAAACTTTACCCTTAACACCCGAGATGATTTTAAAATATCAAGCCACAAAGTTGCAGGAGCTGAGATAGGTAACTACTAAATAATGTATAAAATAACAATTGCTTTATTATGATAGTTGAATGAATGGATTTTGGAGATATCTACAAGAAGAAAACAAAAAGGATTTATTGGTAAGCATTAAATATGAATGATTAAAAATGAAATCCAGGTGTATCCAGATCTTAGAAGGCATCACCCAAGCTCACTGCTGTTTTATAAATGTATGTATACAGCAATGTTTTACCATAATACATATACTAAACCAATATTGTCCTCTAAAAGGAAATGAAAACTTAATCTAATAGCAGACATATTATCACTTGGTCAATAATACTTCTTTGAAGTCAACCATAATAATTTTGAAATGAGATGCAGATAAAGCATAAGAAGCAAACGTACTGATATATAAATAGCCAGGACCACTTTAAATTACCGGTATTTAAATTACCCCAGGTCTGATCGGTCACTCAATTTAGCTTGTGTCTATAATTTGAAACTTTATTTACAGAAGATTGGGAGAATCTGTCATTAGATTAAACTCCTATAGCTGCCCACACAAAACATCACTTACACCTATAAACAAAACATATCAGTAAAAAGGGTCCAGTTATTATTTTCTCACCAAGCAGCAGACACTACGAGGCGATCGGTATTGCAGCATCCCACAAAGTGGGGGGCTGTACAGAAGAGCGAAAGCAAAGTTCGAGACAGCTCAGCCAAGAGCAGTCAAGTGCAAATCTGCTTCCTCCCACTCAATTCTTAGCGAAATCGGAGTAAATACTCGTCCATGATCGCCCCTTCGACGATAGTTTCGATTAGGAATGCGAAAGAAAGACGGTTTCCCAGCTCGAACTTACACCGCTCCGTTGCGGAAGCCCTTGAGCACCGCCAGCGTGGTCTGATATCTCCGCTGCTGCAAGAGAGAATTGACGGTGTAGAGCAAAGTCTTGAGAATCGTCTGATCGGCCATCGCCCCAGCTTTGACACCTGCGATCTAGCAGCCGGTCAATCCGGGGAAACAACTCGACTGAAACACAAAATGCATAGGAGTAGAGCTCCAGGAAATAATGTCCAAGCGGAAAACCAACCCCTGGATTTTAGTTCCGCTCTAATTTTATAAATTCGCGAGAAGATTTAAGTTAATAGACAAAGGAAAATGTACCGTCCCGTAATTATAACTTTTCCTTTCCCGGCTGCTCAAGCGGAAACTCTTTCTCTCTATGTCTGCATCTTTAAAAGAAGGCGTGAAGTCGGTCGTTTAAGAACCAGACCGAATTGCAACAATAGTATTACTAAAGTACAGCATTTTCAGAAGCCATGTCATCACAACTATCATTACGAATATTATGGGAAATTAATCTGTTTTGCAGAAATATAACATCCCTTTGTCTTAAAGCCCCAATTTTACAATATGGACTAATAATTATGTTCTATATTGTCAATGGATTGGATCTGATTGGAATAGAAGATTACCAAATCCCAGGGGTTCAAATTAGATTGGAAATTTAAAACACACAAGAGAGAAATACATACACACTAATGCCCCAAGAAGGTAGTGATAAACCATTTTAAAACAGTGCCAAGAAAATTATATGGAACTGTCTTATGACTTTTAATAAAAAATATGTTTGTTGGAAAAGATTCTACCAGACTCCTGATTCCCCCCCCCCAACCGCCCCCTTCAATGAAGTTAACCAGATACTTCCTTTTCTATGTTTTCATATTTTCACTTGTGGCAGAGTTTTGTTTTCTAAAGCTTGAAAGTATTATTTTACTAGAGATAACAACATGAATGAAAAGCAACACGATTTTCTCTCTTTGCTTTATAATTTATTTTATAGATGGAGCCAGATCACATGACACTGAATTAAAAAAATTTCTCATTATTTATGAGTATGTTTCATTTCCCCCCTTTAAACAAAATTGTGTTAAAAGTAAACAGGTAGTTTATATGAAAATAGGATATCAGTTTTACTGCCTTTCTTGTCAATCAGGTACTTGGTGTCTCTGTAACTCTATTATCCTACACCTGCCTTTGGTGGCTGAGTCTAAACATTACACTAAATATATAAGTACCCTACATTACATTCTGCTACAATAACTTTTAGGCTGCACATATTGAATGCATGTCCAAATCCTTAGTTGAATAATACCTTTATTGGGATCAATAAAAAGGTACAAAGTATCATAGAAACTTCCAGGTTCTCCAATGAATGAGTCATGCAAGATGATTCAAAAAAGGAGGAATGGATGAAGAGGCATGGAAGACCCCAAAATCTGGACAAACGTTCCAGCCATGGGACCTCCTGTTCAAATTCAATCTGAAATGGAATTTGATGTTGGTAGCAATATCACGGATACAACTTTTTCCTCTTGCCAACCGGGACAAAGAACAAGATTGGCCCTAAGCTCAGATCGCAAAATACATTTTTTTCCCCTTTGCTTTCCCTTTTTGCGCTAGACACAAAGTTTCCTGAAGAAACTCTGACATTTCTTCTACATAAATTAAAACATTTTATGTACACTGAGAGTATATGCAGCACCAAAGACAAATTCCTTGTGTGTCCAATCACACTTGGCCAATAAGAATTCTATTCTATTCTATAAGGTCCCCTCCCTGAACAAGCCGAGGGACAGACCGGGACAACGCGGCAATAACCCCGCTCTCTAACAGTACGGCCAGGAGGCCCCGCCCCTTCCAGCTAGGCTGTTCCCTGAGCCAGCCTCTCCCCCACCCCAACCTCATCGCCTCGCGCTCCCCCTAGCGGCGGAGCTACCCTCCCTCGTCTTCCCATAATGCCCGTTTAGGTTGTTCTGCTGTGGCTGCCTCGGCTTCAAGATGGCGCAGGCGATATTCGAGGCGCTGGAAGGTATATCTCGGGGAGCCGGGCGGGTTGAGGCCTCGCGTGTGGGAAAGTCCATTTAAAAAAAAAAAAGCGCGGCTATTCCACGCCGGGCGACTCCCTCCCGCCGTTGTGGATGGGACGTGGGCTGAGAAGGCGCTGGTGCCGCCCGAAGCCATCTCTGGCGCTGAGGGAGGGTTCCTGGAACAGCCAGTGTGCAGTGTCTGTGTTGGAGGAGTAACCGCACCATCCGTGCGCGGATAAATTTGTTTCGCCCGATCAATCCCGGAGGAGCCAAAATTGGCAAGGGGCGGGAATTCAAGCAGGCGGCTCGGGTCCTCTTGGAAATCGTTCCCAAAGGAAGAAGGGACGGTGGCTTGCTACCTCATTGCTACCTCTTCTTCTGCAAGTTCCGTTCAAAGGGCATTTGTTGCTTTAATTTCCTCTCTGTAAGGACTCCTTTTTACCTCTAAAGGTGCCTTTGCTGGGTTCTTGAATAATGCAGCTTGTGTAACATCGCCACCATTCCCTGGAAAAAATGCATCGTAGTGATTAGTGTGACATTAAAGTCTGGGCACGTACATTGGTGAAAAACGCTGCCGCTAAAGGTTATTTATTTTTTACAAATGCAAATGCAGTTGCTACCTGCGGTTCAAAATTGAGAATGTTCCCTGGTTGCAAATTAGGTTCCTTCCTCCTAACTGTCTTAAACTCCAAGATATTGCATGCTTCTGTAAAAACTGTTTTAAGAAGAAGGGTCCCTTAGTTGGATCAGCAATCTATTTCATGCAGCACCCTGTCTATTTTGGCCGATAGGATTTTTCTCCACAATATTATAATATAAAAGAACATCCATTGGTTGTTACTTGATTTACTATCTCAGGACCTACTAATGTGGTTAGTTTAGGTTCAGTTTCCACTGTTGTGTGGATGCAGCCACTGAAGTTTGTGCTATAGTGAACTTGATCATGGTGGCATCTACATATTAGCATAATTTATGAAATTATGTCTTATGAAAGTGCTCTAAAACATCAATTGTATCATATTTATCTGGAAAAAAACCAAGGCATTTATTTTGTATGTTGTACTGAACAGTAATTTCCTTTAATTATTGTTATTAGGACGGCAAAAAGATCTTATATTGCCACCTTGATTGCGTCCGCTGAGTTGCGCCCAGCCGCCCTGTTTAGGATAACCCGCTCCCTCCTAAATAGGAGGGATACGGGGGACCCCCTGCAGGGTAGGGCTGAGGATTACGTCCAGTTCTTGGCGGACAAAGTTGCTCGGTTTCGGTCGGACTTGGACTCCGATTTTGCAGGTCCAGCCGAGGCACAGGAGGATAATCTGGCAGACCATCGCTGGGTTGAGTTTCAGGATGTTGCCCC